TAGGGGGTGGCGAATTTCGATCCCTTATGAAGATAAAGTTGATGTTATTACCCCAACCAACATATTCAGAGGGGTGGCGAATTTTGACCCCTCATGAAGATAAAGTTGATGTTTTTTCACCCCAGTCAAAATATTGTTCAGAGGGGGTGGCGAATTGTAATGTGATTATGGTCATGATGACTGTAAGTGTGGAGCAACGTCCGGGTTGGGGCGAACATGTTCAATTCAAAATGTGCTTCATTCCACAGCCACGTGCACTATTTCAACATGCCAACTGACAAAAGTGCTCCGAACCCGCAGTGTCTTGAACACTTTTCAACAACTCAACATTCCAAAGGTACCGAAGTGCTCCAACACTGAGGTGTTGTTAACATTTTGCCGTGGAAATATGCTTCGCGCCACAACGGCGTGCACTTTTTCCACAACTCGACTACCAAAAGTGCTCCGAACCCGATGTGTTTTTAACATAACATTTTGACTTCAAAACGTGCTTCGCCACAGCTGCGTGCAATTTCTGATCTCTCATCCGACCAGATGGCTCTGCATCTGCCGCTTTAGCGAGGCTACATTTCGACCCTTCGGAGCCACAAAAAATCACAAAACATTGGACTTGGAAAAACACGGTGTTTCGGGACTTTTCTACCTTTTAGCGCACCTTGATCTTCTTTCTACTTACCCTCTCTGCTCTGACCCTTTTCTCTTCTGACCTTTTCTCTTCTCTGACTCTTCTCACCACTGTTGCTGCATCTGTCCATAATAGTCAGACGTTTGACTTCCAAACTTCCTTCGATTACACTACTACACCGTGGCAAATGCTATGCATATGCCATGCCAATAGAAATAATATAATGATTTTAATGCTAATGCAATGATCATTCAACTTCGCTGCAGTTCCCTGTCTCCGGCTGTCTCCTGGTTGAAGTAACGAACACCTTGGAAGATCCCGTTGGGATCCAACTTGTTGGTCAAGACCGTCCAAGCCGGTGCAGGTCCAGCAAGCGTGTAGATTCCTCAGCAATCAATATCCAATCGGTCAATCGGTCAACCAACCAGGACAAAAATGGCGCGTCTCGGTGGGCTCCGGATGGCTCCGGATGGCTCCGGATGGCTCCGGATGGCTCCGGATGGCTCCCGAAAAAGCAATAAAAGCAAAACATGCAATGGATTGCTCACTTTTGCATCTCTTACATTCTTTTACACTCCGACAATGTTTGTCAAATATGATACAACACGACCCGATAAAAGCTTGTAGCAAGAATGCATGACACAACTCCGCCTCAAGAATCTCAAGAATCGTGAATGCTTCCATACTTGAGAAAGCGGATATGAGTGACCTACGGTATGCCGACCCCTGCCCCGTTTTCAGGCCTGAAACTTCAACATTTGTGTTGCGAACACCACCTGCGTGCACCAGCTTTCCTTAGCATCAGATCAGGAGTCAATGATTATCGACCTTTAAACCCTATACCAGAAGTTGTAATGCCACGAGCCACACAAATACTGTTGGTCATCGTGGCAGCTATTATCACGGAGTTTCATTTTCAAAAAAATCCAATGCATGGACTGGTACTATATCTTCATCCACCTATGACCTATATTTATAGAATATTTTAGAATGTACCTGCTACCACAACTATGCCAAGCTTTGGCTTGTTAATAACCACCAGGGATTGAAAGGGAGGCAAAGCAACTTCGATGCAGAAAACTATGACCTGAGTAATCTCTGGACTCTGAATGGTTTCTCCTTGATCCTTTGCCTATCTTTGCCTGGCTTTCTCAGCCCAAATTATGCACACCACAGCAGTACTGCGATGAACTTACCGTTTGAATTAAGTGAGAGTGTTGGTGTTGACAATTTTATAGTGATAATTCTGGAGACGCTGACCCTCTTTCTGAAAATGCATCTATAGAATCAGAGACCCCAAGGTATTTTCAAGTTGACAATCTCTATAGAATCGATGTCACCGAGGTCGTTTATGAGCATCATTCTCTATAGAATAGCTGCCGCCAAGTCACTCTCGTAGAGCCTTTTTTTGGTTGGGGGGGTTAGTTGGCCTTCTATAAAATCAGGCTCCCCAAGTCTCATTCATTGACAGCTGACCTGAATGCTCCAGTTGCTCTTGCCTACCTTACCTTATGCATTCCCAAATTTATAAAGCTCAAAGGCTCCAAGTGTTCACTGTCAACCTCTTCGATTTTATAGACTGGTGAAAAATGCTTGAAAGATCTTGAAAGTCGCTCTGTTTCATTTTGTTTCCATTTTGTTCCGCCAATACTTCTCTATAGAATTGAAGAACATGACATACATCCAAAGAGAACATATCCCACTATAGAATCGCAGTCCCTAAGACTCTCTGCTGACTAGTACTCAGTGCTGTATTCAACATGAAATCTCTATAGAATCAGAGACCCCAAGGTCCTCTATAAAATTGAAAGCGTTGACACTGGGTAGCTACCCCTAAACAAAGCAGGGGTTTAAAACGCACCATTTTCCAGGACCTAACGTTCCTGATTCTGTAGAGGTTAAAACGGCGTTGGTCATAGGAAAACACCGCCAACATCTCAGCCAGTGCGATGTGAACCTGAGTCTCCCCATCGAACCAAATCGGGCAATGTGAGGGTCTCTCCTGCTGCGTTGATGCAAGCAGCGAAGATCTCTGCAACTGCAGCGCCTTCCAGCACTTCAGATGTCTTGTCCAACCCCCAAAAAATACCTAGGATATCCTAGGATTATCCATCGTTCCATGCTATGCCATGCCTGTCTCATATTTGACTATTTGGCCTGAGCTAGACATTGGTTGTCCTCTGGTGAATAGTGAATTTAAAGATTCTAAACACCCAAAGTATGGTAGACTGTGGGCCCAACGGCGGCTTCTCCAAGATGTCGGCAAATGTTTACACACAATTCACAAAATATCAAACCAGTCATGGTGTGGGTCACAAATTGATGAGATCATTCTCAATTCATATAAAGTTCCGCATATCGAACCAGGCGCAAACACGGTGCCCATGCCTTGTGAGTGTCCCACTGTGTAGATCCCACCACTGCAGTTGTTCTCGAGGTATGGCTCGAATTCATCCGTCCACGCTTCGTTTAAAAGGAACTGGAGGAACACTTCGAAGAAACCTGCAACCCCACACTAGCCGCCAACATCGCTGATGACCATGGATCAAAATACCGGTTCGTTTCGCCCATATCTGCCATAGGTTTTGATCCACCCCCCACATGCAGCACGATGTTTGGGAAGCGCAGTGGAACATCAAGCATAAGGCACTGGCATGGAGAGTTGAACCTGAACCTGAATAATCCTGAATATGGAGAATTTGTGGGAGAGACGAATGTGTGGCTTCTGACTCTGACAGAACTACCCGCACCGTATCAGCAACTTGGGCACAACAGATCACAACAGTAGGCGCACATAATGCATGAGTTGCAATTATTTGAATCATTTCCATTTCAGGAATTCAATGGCCTTCATGCGCATGAAACAGGCCGCATTCTGGCAAGCTCACTTTTGTCTTCCTGAGTGCGAGAGCGTAAGTGTGAGTATTGAAGTGTATACATGTGTATATCCCCTCCAGTACATGGCACTTGGTCAGGCGCACATCAACTTGAAGGGTGCTTTGCAAAACTCCAGGGATTCTCAAGCCTCCATCAATACGTGTAATCAAAACTGGAAATTGCTGCTTCAGCCACTCCTTCATCTTCATCAATATCTCCTCTAGAAGGATTGAATTCACAAAGCACAAAGCGCCACTTCGACTGAAAGTGTCCCACTTCTTCCAAGCATCGCATTGAAATTCGTGGACCAATCTGCAAGGCCATGAGTGCCACTGAAAGAGATGGCACACTTGTTGTCTTTCGCAAACAGTGCCACCACATCATGGCCAGGCACGACCAAAGACTCAGTGTCGTTGACCTTACGAATACTGCATGTCCAAGGGGTTGCAAATACAGGGATCCCAGACTCCCAGATGATCCCATCAATTAGTGTCAGGATGTTGCAGTTCGATTCAATATTTTTTCATCCCAGCATGTTCACATCAGCATCATTCATTCAGATTCAGATGCAAGCTCAAATAGTGCATGTTTCATTAAGTGTTTGTGATACAGAGTGCCATTCCCGGCACTTGAAGGCAACAACGACAATGGACACTGGTACAAGTCATGACTCCAGGATCAGGCAGATTCCAAGCCACATATTCTGCCACCAACTCCCAACCTCCAGCCCATCCATTTGGCCATGTGCTCTTGAAGTAGTCAAGGTCATAGCACCTCGTGCGGCACAGAAAATCGTAGAAGTGCTGTCGCCTTTAAGGAGGTGAGTAAGTGTATGTGAATTTGAGCAATGTGAGCTAATTTAGCTTAACGGGATACCGAAAGTGGTCAAATTGTAGTACTAACAGTAGCTTAACCATCCAATTTTCCGCGTAATTAATGATGCCGTTAATGATCCATCTCCAAATCAGCAACAGGCCAGCTGTGTCCACAAGGCAGTCCAGGTGCCACGATGCCAATCCCGCCATCTGCACTGAGAAAGCCGATGAGCCGGTCACAGCATCCAAGTATTTGCGTGCTGGAATGTATGCAATCCTCATTCCAAACATTCCAAACGTCGGACACAGATGGATACAGCGAAACTGTCAAAGAATGTCTAAGACTGCTGTCTTCATTTGAATTCACTGAAAGCTGAGCTAAAATAGACTCCGAAAGAATGCAACAAAAGTAACAAAATGCTGCTAAAGGCAAAGATGGAATGTCTGCTTGGCAATCTCTTTGCCTGGCAGGGCAATGGGTGCGTAGGCCCATGGATCCCATGGGTTCAACATCCTTTTACTATCTTTTACTAACATTATCTTACAGGAATCTTACATTCTATTGTTCTACACTGATTCAAGGGACCACTCTCTGATCCAGAAGAATCAGACAAAGTCGGACCAAAAGTTGCTTTCCTGCAACCTATGTCCAGATTCCAGTTGCCATGGCTGCGCTATGGCTTATCCTGCTTATCCTGAATTTTATATAATTTTCCAGAATTTTATATAATTTTCCAACCTCGCACGCCCAAATGGGTGCCTGCCATATCCAGGAAGTCTCCAATAAAAATAACATCTGGAAGCTTCTCTACAGATTCAGATTGCGTCCTTCTTTCCTGAGTGGTATCTCAATCCATCAAACGCGGTGACCACATCAAACGGATGTTGAGGCAAAACCAAATACCACTGTAACATACTGTAGTTAGTTGTGAATGTGGCTACCAGGCTGCATGAAATATAGAAGTCTGCATCACATGTTAGCAGTAGAACACACATTTTTGGGGCAGAACTAGATTGTTGGACTATTGTACTATTGTCAAGGCGGTATGTCTCCTGCTCCTTTTACGGTACCGTATGGTACAGTGTTATCATGCTGCACGGGGCTTCTGGGGATGAAGACCAAGGCTGTGAACGTTGACACGCGAAGTTCATGGATGTCCAATCGTTGACCTGTACCCATCTTTCCCATCATTGAAGTTTCTCACATCTTTCATCAATGGACATCAATGGACACTAAAATCTTCAAACACGTTTAAGAACCGGAGGAAAAAGTCGGCCATCCAGGCCACAAGAGGTGCCAACCATTTCAAACCGAGACCAAGTAGCTGAAGCTATAGAGATGCCAGAGCCTTGCACAACAGTTGATTTGATCGAATTGTTGGTCTTTGGCAAGAATGCTCCTGACCTCAGGATTTCTGGATTTCTGGACTCAAAACTTGGCAGTCGAAACATCATACGACAAAGGAATGAGATGAGGAAAAGGACACTTTGAATATCAAGCCCCTTCATTTGCGTTAATATGAATGTACAACCCATTCGCATCCAACGTCTATAGAAGTAATAGGAAGAAGTCAGGCAGGTGAAAATGCAAGCGAACAATTCACTCAGCTCTTGTGACAGGCGAGACGTCAAGAACACATATAGGAAACAATATATTCATAGATCATAGATATTGACAATATCAATATTCATTATTCAGGAAAGAACGCCAGGCCACTCTCCAGCTTCCACATATGCAAGAGCCACAAAGAATGAAACCAATTTGGCCCTCGCCATGGCAAAGCAAAGCAAAACCCACTCAGCTCCCGCGAACTACTGCACAGGCTGCAGCCAGGTATGGCACAAACGGACTCAAGTTGAAGGATCAAACGAGGCGTTGAAACAAACTAGGGTCGGCAAAGAACTGTATGAGTGATTTTGTGTATGAAATGCAATGTCTTAGAATCTTATTGGTATGTAAAATCATTTTATATATGGCTGCTTGGAGATGTGTGGCGAAGCAAAACCGTGCTCTCCATGCTCTGCAACCTTCAAGCATCTTTTTTGTAGCCAGCCATCAGGAGCCCCAGCTACATGAAGAGAGCTGTTGCTCGAGGGCTTTCTTGGATTATTTGGATTGGCCATCTGGATCAGCTCTAGGTCGCAGATCTGACCCAGTGACAAGCAACAAATACCCTTCAACCTGCTTTGAATAGGTCTATATAATGAAGAAATATGAAGACCACTGCTTCTGCGTTGAGTTTGCTTCGGAAAAATGGCCGCTGCTGTCAGACCCGCAAGATGCTAAGTGACGTCATCTTCAGCGCAGCATGTCAAAATATTTAGCACACTACATGTACGCTGCGGTGAAGTATCCCAAAGTTCACTTCAACGAGATCAACGTACGAGAGTCTCCAACCCAACACCTCTGACGAAACGCTTCATTGCCTAAGCCGTTCGAGTGTTTCTTTAAAAGATTCAATGCCAGTCAGATGCCAATGATGCTACTAGATGCTACTAGTAAAGGCAGAGTTAGCTGGTGGTTACTGGGGACGCTTGTCACGGTGAGGACTTAGGCTTTCACAGTAAGGTGGCTTCACGCGGCATGGGTCGCCGCCAGGAAAGAATTGTGCTGACAAAAATGAGTACGTTTACGTGTATAATATATATATATATACGTATTATAGTATGTATACTGTATATCTATTGGTAAATGCATCATACATAATATCTATATATTTATCTATATTATTTGTATATAAACAACGTGCAGTTTTTCCCGAATGCGTAGCAAGGGTTCCCGTTTCACTCTGGGGGTCTGGGGGTATTGAGGGTGTGTTCGCTCGACGTTGCTTCCGCATCCGCAACCGTCCGCAACCGTTCGCGCGATCCCCGTATGGCCGTGCCTATGGGAAGTTCTGCAGAGGTGGTCCTTTTTGGGGTTTGCAGACGTGTCGTTGCTTCGTTTCGCGTGGCAGGCGTGGCACTTCGTGTCATTCAGACGTGTTCTGGAACGTGTCGAAAGTCGTTTTGCGTGGCAGGCGCAATACTTTTGTGACGTTGTCAGAGGATGTGTTGCAGTTTTCGTGGCAAGCGCAGCACTTTGGACGTGTCTATCGTCATTTTTCGTGGCAGGCGCAGCACTTTAGACGTGTCCTGTTGCGTGTTTTTTGCAAATCGCATTGGCAGGGCTGCGTCAAGTGGTGACAAGGTGCAAATTCCGTGGCAGTCGTGGCATTTTGTGTGATGTGCTGAAAATTGACGGAAGCCTCGCACGAAATATCGATTTTGAGGTTGCAAATTTTCAGGTTCTAAGGAAAACTCGTAGGAAAATGTCGATTTTGCAGCTACAAAATGTGAAAAGTGGAGGAGGTCTCGCACGAAATGATCGTTTTGGTGCTCCCACCTGTCTCGTCTCGCGTCTCTGGTTTTCCCGTGGCCTCGCCGTGTCTATGGGGGAAGCTGCAAAACTTGTCCTTTTGTCATGTTGCCAACTGTGAAAATCGCCGGAAGTCTCGTACGAAATGATCGTTTTGATGCTCCCACGTGTCTCGTCTCGAGTCTCTGGTTTTCCTGCGGGTTCGCCGTGTCTATGGGGGAAGCTGCAAAACCTTTCCTTTTCGAAGGTTTCCAAGGAAGTTGTCATGTCGTTTTGCGTGGCAGGCGTGGCACTTTGTGACATTCCAACCTGTTTGATAATGTGTCAAAAATGTCAGAATTGTAGGAAGTCTCGTATGAAATGCTGGTTTTTCTGCATCCACGTGTCTTGTCTCGAGTCGCTGGTTTGCCTGTGGCGTCGCCGTGTCTATGGGGGAAGCTGGAAAACCCCTCTTTTTCGAAGGTTTCCAAGCAGGTTGTCATGTCGTTTTGCGTGGCAGGCGTGGCACTTTGTGACATTCCAAGCTGTTTGACAACGTGCTGAAAGTGTCTCTGGTTTTCTAGACACGTCACCGTGTCTATGGGGGAAGCTGCAAAACATCTCCTTTTCGAAGGTTTCCAAGCAGGTTGTCATGTCGTTTTGCGTGGCAGGCGTGGCACTTTTTGACATTCCAACTTTACACTCTACACTCTACACTTTACACTCCACACTTTACACTCCTCACTCCACACTTTACACTCCACTCTACACACTCCACACTCCACACTCTACACTTTACACTCTACACTTTAAACTCTACACTCTACACTCCAAACTTTACATTTTAAACTCCACACTTTACACTTTACACTCCTCACTCGACACTCCACACTCTACACTTTACACTCCGCACTCCACACTCCACACTCTACACTCCACACTCTACTCTTTACACTCCACACTCCACACTCTACACTTTACACTCCACACTCTACACTTTACAGTCTACACTTTACACTCTACACTCCACAGTCCACACTCTACACGTTACACACTCTACACTCCCCACTCCGCACTTTACACTCCACACCCCTTACTTTACACTTCACACTCCACACTCCACACTTTGCATTTTTCACTCCACACTCCACACTTTACATTTTGCACTCCTCACTCCACACTTTGCACTCCACACTCCACACTTTCCACTTTACATCACTTTACACTCTGCACTCTGCACTTTAAACTCTACACTTTACACTCCACACTTTACACTCTACACGCTACACTCCACACTTAACAGTTTACACTGTACGCTCCTCACTCCAAACTTGACACTTCTCACTCCACACTCCTTACTCTACTCTCCAAACTCCACACTTTACACTTTATACTTTACACTTCACACTTTACACTCCACACTCCACATTTTAAACACTCTACACTCCCCACTCGACACTTTACACTGCACACTCCTTACTTTACACTCCACACTCCACACCCTACACTTTCCACTCCACACTCCACACTCGACACTTTCCACTCCACACTCCACACTCTACACTTTACACTCCTTACTCCACACTGACACTCCACTCTCCACACTCTACACTCCACACTCCACACTCTACACTTTACACTCTACACTTTACACTCTACACTTTACATTTTACACTCCACACTTTACACTTTACACTTTACACTCCACACTTTACACTCCACACTCCACACTCTACAGTACACTTTACACTCTACACTCTACACTTCACACTCTACACTCCACACTCTACACATTCTACACTTTACACACTCTAAACTCCACACTCCACACTCTACACTTTACAGTCTACACTTTACACTCCACACCCTACACTTTACACACTCTACACTCCCCACTCCACACTTTACACTCCACTCTCCTTACTTTACACTCCACACTCCACACTCTACACTTTCCACTCCACACTCTACACTTTACACTCCACACTCTACACTTTGCATTTTTCACTCCTCACTCCACACTTTACATTTTTCACTCCTCACTCCACACTTTGCATTTTACACTCCTCACTCCACACTTTGCACTCTACACCCCACACTTTCCACTTTACACTCTACACTTTACACGTCTACACTTTATACTCCACACTTTACACTCTACACTCTACACTCCACACTTGACACTTTACACTGTACACTGTACACTCCTCACTCCACACTTTACACTCCCCACTCCTTACTCTACACTCCACACTCCACACTCTACACTCCACACTTTACACTCCACACTCTACACTTTACACTCCTTACTCCACACTGACACTCCACTCTCCACACTCTACACTCCACACTCCACACTTTACATTTTGCACTCCTCACTCCACACTTTGCACTCCACACTCCACACTTTCCACTTTACATCACTTTACACTCTGCACTCTGCACTTTAAACTCTACACTTTACACTCCACACTTTACACTCTACACGCTACACTCCACACTCTACACATTCTACACTTTACACACTCTAAACTCCAGACTCTACACTTTACAGTCTACACTTTACACTCCACACTCTACACTTTACATACTCTACACTTTCCACTCCACACTCTACACTTTACACTCCACACTCTACACTTTGCATTTTTCACTCCTCACTCCACACTTTGCATATTACACTCCTCACTCCACACTTTGCACTCTACACCCACACTTTCCACTTTACACACTACACTTTACACGTCTACACTTTATACTCCACACTTTACACTCTCCACTCTACACTCCACACTTAACACTTTACACTGTACACTGTACACTCCTCACTCCACACTTTACACTCCCCACTCCACACTCCTTACTCTACACTCCACACTCCACACTCTACACTTTACACTCCACACTTTACACTCCACACTCTACACTTTACACTCCACACTCTACACTTTCCACTCCACACTGCAGACTGGTAACAATGGAAATATGTACAAGACTGTTCAAATAAACTATTGCAGGACAGTGTTTTGCGTGACTGCATATCCATGTGTTTCGACATCTGTACCATTAACATACGTGTGAGCATTCGGGTTCGTGGGCTGCATCTTGTTTTTTTGGATTTGGGAGTTTTGCTAAGTCATGGTCTGCATCAATCAAAGCTAGCGTAAGCTAGATCCCTTGCAGTCAACATCCGAAGACGCCCCAAATGCACTGAGGTGATTCTGTAGCAAATTCTTGCTGCTTGGTAAGGTTCCAACTGGCCAGTAGTATCTGCACAAAACCCACGTCCTTGGAATTCAATGACAGAAACATGGATCATGGTGTGAAATGACGACTGTCTGGCAATCTGCCGTTGCGTGGATGCATGTGTCTTGCACTTCTCACCACCATTAGTGTCTATTTTCTTGACAATCCTTCCACGAAGATCTGTGCTACCAGTGGGTTCTTGAGGTACGCGTAGCAGTCTTCCATCCATGATTTCCAAGTGCTTGACGCTGCAGTGCTGCAAATTGCCACGCGGAAACCTGTCACAGCAAGATTCGTGTCATAGGCTTCTCTTGGACAGGCACTTGTCACAAGCTACACCTACATGCTGGAAATTCATCCGTACCAAGATCTTCAAGGATCTTCGTTTAGATAAGTGACAATTTGGAGAGACTAGATAATATCACTATATCACTCCATCAAACTCCAAGGTTCAACATTCATATTTGCATCTGGCGTCTGATCCTCGGCCAAGCTGCAATGATCCATAAATTGAACCAATTCACGAAGCATCTCCCTGGCGACCCAGGGCGAGAAGTTGCTGGACAATATTCAGACTTGTTGAGATATATGTTACATGTTGAGATGCGTGTTTCCAGCTTGTTTTTGTGGAGTCACTGGCTATTGGCCAATGTTGGCCAAAACATTGGCCAACTCAGATGCTAACGTCTTGTTCCAACTCCTGTTTTCTCAAGACTGACCTGTTCTTCTTGTTCATCTTGATGCATTCCTCGTACCTTTGTGTCAAGGCATGCATCACCAAGCGAACAGATTGCAGTGCGGCGGCTTCCAGACATCTTGGCAAATTTATACCTATATTGATATTATTCATGAGGATGAGGACTCACATCCCATTTATATTTGATTCCACTCATTTCACCCCATGTCATTGACTGTCAATGGATCGATGTCTTAATGGATACATATTGGATTCCATGCATTTCCATTTATCCTATCCATAGATGTCATTCTGAATCAAACCTAACTTACCTAACTTGCCAAGTTTGCTGACCATCTGTCGACTTTGCTTTTCGTTCCTTCTTCCCAATCTTCCCAGGCACTGCTCAAGAAGTTCTTCGGCAGCATCTCGCCAGGTCATTCGAACTGCAGTGCTTTTGGTGGATATTCATGGATATTCAATATTCAATATTCGGTAGGTGGAAACAAATGGAAACATCCCTACCCCTATAGAGGGGGAGCGGGGGGGGGGGACAAAACCAATCTGTCGAATTCCACTTTTTTTTGCTTGGAAACTTTGGAAACCTTGGGATAGTGATCCAATTGCTCAAATGGAATTTTAAAGTAAGTAACATTTCTTGACAAGCCTTGGGCACTGGTTAGAAAATACTTGCGCTTTGCTCCGGACGAGCTAAGCGCAAGTATGATGATGGCAACGCTGCTTCAGTCTCACATGTGCTTAGCTCCTCCAGAGCTAAGCGTATTTAATTTTCATCTGTTTGCCAATGATATGGAATGACGAGGAATGTTGATCATTGAGAAAAATAAATGCAAAAATGGAATTTAAAAATTACATTTCAGTACGACTCCCCCCCGCAGGGATATGGAAACAAATGGTACAATTAAAGGTATGCACATGTATGCACCAAGGTTGCGGGGCTAGTAGCAATTCACTAGAGTGACTACCGTGACTTGAAGCAACAAAAGATACATTCTTGTGGGGTAAGGATTCCATAGGATTCCTAAGCTTTTAGGATGAAATGGTGCCGCAGATCGCCGGTTTCAAACAACCATGAAATCAAGACTGAACATCATCCTACCTTCAAACAAGGAAGGACACCAAGAAATGACTAAGTCGACTATGTACCACGTTTGATCTAACAGGTGCTCTCATGCAGGCACCTGGATGATCTTGGAGATACTTACCTGAGAGAAAAAAAAATTGCCCAGCAGAGTGTTGGAGAATACACGTCAGCGAATCTATGTGAATCCTGAAATTCTATTGACTCTTGCCTTTTACGAATGAGACGTTCCATGTCTCAAAGACAAGTACCTTACATCCTGCTTATAAAACCATCGGATTTGGGCTCGGCAGAGAGCACTCACCCAGCATTCTGTGACGTTCCGATCGCAAACCCTTGACGTTCATAAACAACAAACAACTTATCTTTTGCACCAGCGTCCTTCATTACACTCAAATTATTCACCAAAAAAGCCCAAAGCCCATTTCTATATTTTTCCTCAAGTCAAAAAGGTCAAGTTCAAAACAACTATGCTATGCAGTTGTCTATGTTGTCTGAAAATAGGGTACCCCATGGAGGCCCCAAATCCCCATGAAATGCGAGCGGCGTCCCGTTTGTGCGGCTGCGATGGAAGCAGCCAACTCTTCAGGCGATTCGATGTTGTAATGCCACTCCTGTGGTGAGACCAGTACAGCAACCCCAATAGTGCCATTGCATGCCATTGCCTCAATGATTGATGGTTTCCAGAATTGGATGATGAAGGGAATGTGTGTGTGTCCCTATGTTTTTGTTGGTAGAAAAAGTAGAAACAATGATTATATAAACCCACCCAATAAGTCAATGTCATGAGTGAAGTATGGAGATGATAATTACAAAGGCTATTAACGTCCTTGGATATTTCGCGAACCATATATGAATGCATAGTTTCAAGAAATCGGTATGGCAGCTATGTGTGATCGGCGCCATGACTACTGACACAGTTTGTTGAGTACAATGTATTTATACACTATCTGCACGACAAAGCTGATAACGAATTCAACAATGTTGACATATTTTGAATATAATATAATATGTTTGTTTGAAGCTCCCGACAAACAATAATGGATAGACATGTATGTATTTCCAGTGTTCTTGGCCCTGCAGTGATATCCAGTGGCCCCGCCCGGCCTTTGGTGTCTTGTCTGTCCAAATTTCATCAAAGACAGAACAGAATGGCATCACCGCCGGGCAGCCGCACATCATGGCCTGGCCAGTGCTTGGGATTGACCATGAGATTAAAACTGCTCCGCAGAAGATACGACTCTATCTTTATGGCCCAAATGGCTCTGTTGCAAATCTGATATCATCATAATATGTCAACTACAGCCATTGGATGGTATGGGTACACTACACTACTGTAATGTTGCAGTCCACACACCTGTATCCTCCAATGTAGAAACGATCTTGTTAAGATCTTGTAAGATCTTGTAAGCCTTCAACATCCTTCAACTCCTCTAACCAGACTCCACTTCCGCCTCAAGGCAAGTGAGACCAAATGTCTCAGAAAGACTCATGGTCACGAAGCAATCTGCAGATCGATACAGCTGTGGAAGTTCCTTGGAGCAGTGAATCCGCTGTGATTGTTTTTTGCAGACTTGCAATAAATTGAGCATTTAAGCATATTTAAGCTCCCTACCCCATGCTTTACACCATTGTGGCCCAGACATTTCTTGACTACTATCAGTAAAATCCTGTAAAAATGCAAATGTGAAGTTCGTGATACTGTAATATGTGATATAATTAATAAATTGCCTGGAGCTCGTCAGGTTCCTATTTCATGTGCAAACATCAACAAGTCGTTGTCAACCCACTCACAATCCCCCAACTTGGAGAAATATCTTCCTCATTAGACAAATGTCCAAAAAAAAATCTGGTCTTTCTCTGAATCGCAGTAGGCCAACAGAATTGGACGTGACCTGTTCTTATGTTCATAATTTGTTGCATCAATCCATTGTGGTCATTTGTGGTCCATATTGACCACATCATTGAGTGCCCAGCATTGTGGGGCACATTCCCCAAGAAGACCTGCAGCAAATGCTTGCTGTCACTGCTGGAAATACAACAACATGGCAAGGCATAAACTTAAACGATGGACATCAGAAATCCTGGAAACACTTTGAAGTCTTAGCATCTGGCTACACGTAAACGAAGGCGGGTGGCTTCTGCAATCAATCCTTCCTGGCATTCTTTGACTTGGAAGACGCGCTCCAGAGAGTGCTGCTTTGCAGTCTGATTGCTGCAAAAACATACGAGTTTTTGCTAGGATCCATGTGCAAGCGTGAAAAGGATCGAACAGGCCAAATTCAACAAATTCCGCAGTATGACAGTGATATAATGCAGTTTTCTTATTAAATATCCAGAGGATTTCCAGAGGTATCCATTGCCATGGGCTCCTTGGCAGGGCCGTCACCAGCGATGGCCAGGACGCCCTTTACTCCTTGGCCGCCCTCCTGCGAGATGCGAATCTCTTTGGGCCCCCAAAAAGATAGAGAAGGACAAATTAGATTAGAACAGTACATAACCATCAAATTGCTGGGAGGATTTTTTTTGTTTCTATATCGTTCTGGACTCAATGGTACTCCTATACACCAAGCAGCAAGTCATCCTCAAGCTGCATGTCTGCGATCAGAACCACCAAGGAAAAAGTAAGAAAAGCGCAAGAAGCAAGTCCTCCTTTGGCAGTAAAGCTGTAAAAACTCGTTCGGTGCCCTGCCAAAAGACAACTTGACAACACACTTCAGTCACTGGAAACCAACAAGAAAACTACGAGCACCTTGACCCAGTTGAATGTCCCAAGAATACCAAAATTCAAGGGGCTGGATGATATTAAAATCTCCAGTTGTAAGCATTGGACATCTTTCTTAACACTTCAACAGCAGTCTGTTGTTTGCGACTTGACATATCATTTGCCAGTTTACTGGGCCGGACAACCTGCGCTTGATCTTGTGGCCGTGGCTCAGAACGGAAACGACTTACCAAAACGTACGAAATCCCAATAGAAAAATAGTACTTTGATCCGTGCTGGGATAATCCGTGGACATGATAAGACCATTGCACATATTTCATCCTATTTCATCCTTGCCCATGGAACACCATGGAACACCATGGAGCACCATGGAACCATGCCTTTTCGGCTGAAAGCCGCTGTACCATCAGGATCACCTACCGGGCATCCCTCGGCACTGGGGAAGGGTTCTGGCACAGTCTAGTCTTTCCAAATCCAAAACGTGGACAACCAGACCATTGAACAAGACTTGCGCACAATAAGAATCAATGCAGATGTAGACTACATCCTTACCTAGAAACTCTTTTGGCCAAGAATTCTCCTGGAGGCCAGTTGTTGCATTTGCGCCGGAAGCTTGTGAAATCGCTGGAGCTACAAATGTCTGTTTAAACAAAGTCAAAACACAAAAATTGCGCCGGAATTGCTGGTGATTACGCCAAAATTACTAGGCAATTACGCCGGCTGGCAAAACTAAAACCTAAGTCATAAACCTGCAAACCATACAGTACAGACACAGTATAAATACAGGAAATACAGCAAATATAGTATGTAAAATGTAAAGTACCTATACTACATATAGTGATATATAGTGTAATTATATATTAATATACGGTATATACTTACAGTATACATAGTGTATATATAGTAGCATGTGTGGTATATATGGTGTATATATATATATACATATATATTTTAGTATGTCCAGTATAGAGTCTATATAGAAGATATAATCATATAATGCATTTTGTGTATACATAATTATACATATATACATATATTTATAGTATTATATAATAGATTATAATAGTAATGTATACTATGGAGAGTGCAAATAGATGCAAATGGTATATAATGTGTAATATCTGTATATTGTATATGCAATACATATAATACAGGTTTATGGTGTGTAGTATGTAGTACACAGGAGTTGGGGCTCCGAAGTGCTGCAAATAGCATATGGATGGGCAGTCTGGGGGCTGGTCTGGGGGCACCCATCCCTTGATGGGGTGGGACCAGCAACACGGAACACGGAACCACATGTTGTCATACTTATCACTATTACATACATTGACATACATATTATTATAAATATATATATATATTAAAATTATATTAAAATATATTAAAATATTATAAATAAAGATTCTGCCACCACTCCGGCTCAAAGAGGGCCTTGTCATCCTCGCTGTCGACTTTGAACTTGGCTAATCGGATATCTCTACGCTCCTGACGTATGTCAGCATGTCATCTGTCATGACAAATTGATGTTCAAAGTGTTCAAACATGTTCAAATGATATTGTCCAGATTTCAGTTTACACGCATGGGCATGAGGGTCAAAACTCTGATACGAATACCCCGGTTCACTCGCAAATGTACAGCAACTTGAAGCAGCATGGATTGCCCTTGAAAGTTCACCCATCATCACCCATACGTGCCAGAGCGGAAGTGTTTCATTTGACTCACCGCCTAAATGTCATTCGAAATCTATGTGGAGCGATTCAGAATGATGCAAAGAGCAACATTTATCTGATCTGATTATGCTGGACTTGGTCACACCATGTCAGACCTTTATCCACCAACCTCATCCCCCTGTCTCCGTGTCTGACTTCGGAACAGCTGTGAAAATATCGTGAGTGCCTTGGAAGTTCTTAAGATGGTACTGTGCAGTGAAACATGATAAAACATGATAAACGGTGTCTGGAATCCTACAAGGTACTTAGCCTCGTTGGACTGCATGTTTCTGGAGAACACAAACATGCCCCGCGATAGAGCTCCAGTGATTACAAACAGCAAATAATGCAAATAGGGCAAAACAAAGTACAAGATTTCGTTGCTTCATGTCTGCGAAGAGCAAGCAAAGTATTCCTCATCAGACTTTGCAGATTAGACCTTCAACCATTTTTCGACATTCTTTTGGTCCCTGGCCGGATGGCACTCGACGCAACTTGGCCTCATTCTCCTGGGGCATGAAAAAGAGTGAAAAAACTCCGAACATCTCTGAACAAGCAGTCAAGTTGCCAACAAGAAAGCCTCATTCAAAAGATTCAAAATGGCTGTCACAAAACCCTAAAATTCACCAAGCTTAAAGTTGATTTGTGTTCAGAGCTTGCAAAACGGAAATTTAGCTGGTAAGATCTGGTCAGTCATTTCGATAGCTTTAAACACTCTCGCCCAACGCTTCTTCGGAAAATTGGTCATTGCTTGGTGAAGACTTGTCCCACCATGTCTCTGTCGGTCCTTCCCCATGTGGTCCCTTGCGAAGCAAAGAGTTGGTGCTGCATTGAGTGTGCCCCACTTGATGGCAGGTCCCAGACCCAGGATGTCATACCTGCAGTGCAGTGGACATCTGCATGGACAGGTGTCGGCATTGTGTCGATACTGCTCGATACTGCTCGACTTGGCAGCAGTGAATCTCTTGGTCGCAATGATTTTGACATATTTTGACTATCCTCACACATCCAAGGATGATGAATCCACAATCCCTATGCCTACTAACAACTCCTATAAATACCATACTAGTAGACTAGGATGTGGGATGTAGTTTGGACTAAGAGAATAGGCAACCCCGGCAGTGCCCATGAAATGGGCTACTGGAGGAATCCCCAAAACACCAGCAAGATGTTGTCCCGATGCAGCCACAAGTTACATCTTCAAGCCGAACGAGGCCACCCACCTGCACAGCACTGGGTGCAGGGACTTAGCTTCGAACCGTCTGGGAAATGTCAGGGATTCATAGATGAATGATGATGAATGATCGTTCCAGCGGGGCAGCAGCCACTTGCAACTTACCGACGACTCAGCGCCCATGAGGTGGTTGGTTCTAATTCGATACGCACACGCATAGATGCCCACAGCAAACTTTGAACACGCATTGGAACTATGCCTGATTGGCACAAGCTTGTAGGCAAAGATGTTCATCTCTACATGGTGGGAGCAGTAGACCTCAAGAAGGGACACTGCTCTGTGCATTACCAGCAGGCTTGTCCAAGACTAATGACAGGAAACGCGCGCCCACCAGCAAGCTATTTGCAGCATTTTCTCAGACTTTTTCAATCTGATCAGAACACATCAGAACTCATGTACACGGATGTACGCTTCATACATCTTCATACAACGTAGAATCGCTGTTCATTTCAGGTCTTGCCAAAAGCACCATTTTTGGTTCCCAAATTCTGCTCCAAGTAGCAGGAATTCGTCGCCATGCACAGGTGGTCAGAACGAAAGTTCCAATCAGCGAGGGATAGACCAAGTGGACCTTGCAAACCGATCCGCTTGGTATGCCCTTGGGATGCCCTTGGGATGGGCATGTGTTAAATGTTGAAAACACCAAACCAACGGTCTGTCATCATGTTGGTTCCTCCACAGTAGCGCTTTGGGTCTGGTATCAGGTGGAATCAAGGATATGGAAGGCGCTTAGACATCTACTGATCACTCCAAGAAATTTGCAGGAAAACCATTCCCATTGATGGGCCGTGCACAATTGCAACATTGGGCGCTCCTGGAAGTTACAGCAAGTTAATTTCATAGAGAAATACAGGAGCAGTATAGGAGCAGCAAGCTATAGGGCTCTCGGCTCTCGTGTCAATTTTAGTGGTTCTCAACTGTCACGGATCTATACAATAAATAGATGTACCTCATGGATCCTCATGGTAAGTCTATGAGTCTATGGGCAATGTTTCGAAAAAAATGAAGACTGAGGAAGTGAAGCAGGTAAGGTCTCAGCCACGTCCCAGGTATGGGCACCCAGGAACCATGCCAACTTCACCTCACGGAGGCTGGAGACTGCCCGGGTGAAACGGAAGGATGGCTCCGGTTTCTTCCGGTTTTACATCCTGGGAAGAACATGTTGGGAAAATGTTGGGATGTTTCAGATATTTACATTTCCTATCATATCTGTCAAATGCTATGCCTCTCAACCATCAACTCAAATCCACTCATAATCACCTTACCTTGTCCGTTTCATGGACAACAGCCCTTCCCTTGAGGCAGCTGCTCCAGGGTTGTATCCAATGCGGTTCTTCAGGTTGAAGGGATTCACCACCTGGCGCTCCGGATGCTCGGGGGGGGGCTCTTGGTGTCAGGCGATTGGCCATACCAACTGCAGAAACTCAGACATCTGCCATCAATCCATGTCTCAAATTCTTGATCCAAATCAGGAGTTCTGCATCATCTGAATCGCACCATATTGCACCATATTACATTTGGATTACGTGAACTGATGTGAAGTGTTATGTGTGAAGATGTGTGGTGTTTCACGTGGCAAGACCTGCCAGTGGGACTGCTGGAATGTTGGGATGGTCGAAGGAGGTTTCCTTGGAGGCCTCGTATGCTGTGCTGAAGACAATCACCTGGCGCCACAAAGAGGCTCCGGCTGCACTACCATCTGGATCCATTTGGATGGTTCATTCACATTCATTCCTCATGTGTTGGTCTAAACTCCCTAGTTTTTTTCTGATCAAATCCCAAATTCATCTAATTTACTAATTACATCTAATTATCATCTAATTGCTATCTTGAATGGGTCACTCCCCAGGTTCGCGTTTTTTTCGTGGCGGTCCTTTTGGAAGGAAAGCTTCCGCTGCAGCAGAATGTCCGGCCTCGTGCCCTTTAGCCCTCATCTCTTTGACGTAGGCATGACAGCGAATGGCAATACCTGGCGCAGGCTCATCAGCCTACCTCAGCCTGGAGGTCAGCCCTGGGCCCTGGAAGCAGTGTAAACATGTGTAAAAGAGAGGGTCTTTGAGTCTTTGAGTCTTTGAGCATCAAAAATTGCATCAAAAAGCACATGTGGTGTTCTTGTTTGGAGCTCGAAGAAGACACGTAACATGGAACACTGAAATACCATAGATTGGTTGAAAATAGTTCACAACTGTGAAACATCGCATCGTACACGCAATTTCTGTATCCCAGTCAGTTCATCAGGAATCACTGACCCTCTGGTGTTCAAGTTGTTTTCTCCCACAGACCGCAGCCGCACCATGTGTCTGCGGAGGCAAGTAGTCTGTGATGACCAAAATACGTCGGTTTGCGACTGGTCTCCCTGCAAACAGAAAGCAATTTTCAGGTCTGACAAAAATGAGTGAAGGATGCCGCTAGATTTATTGCAGCTCTTGTCTGAAGGTTTGTAAGTTACAACTCAACCTTCAATCCCAACCACATTAAAAATATTAAAACTCTTTGGCAAGCAAGGGGTAAACATGATGTCGAAGAAGCTGGGAACCATCAATCGTATTCGACACACTTTGCACTTCCGAAAGACCAGCTCTGACTGGAGTAAAAGGCATCTGATGCGTTGACAACTCTGTGTAACCTGCTCTGAGGATAGAGTAGCAAGTACAGCTATGAACAAGAAAACAAGTGCACATTGTGTGCGTATCCGAATCATCTTTTCAAATGAGCTGTTCTGCGACATGCTGCAATCATCTGCTGCTCTGCCTGTTGCCACGCCAGTAATCCGTGCAATCAGTCGAAGGAACTGTGCCTGGTACAATTCTATTTATCCAGTAGGACGGCCCTCGTGTGACCAAGTCGCAAGTTCTTAAATTGAACGCCTAAAGAAACTCAGTCCAAACGCCACATGTCTACCATGCACGTGCAGAGTGGAAAGGCACAAACGATCCTCTCAGAGCACATTGTGGCAGCAGTTCCACGGAAAACAGTTGCTACATGTTTCTACAGTAGGCAGTCATTCAGAAGAAGACTACAAGTGTAAGGCCCCTGCCAAGAAGAAAACAAAATAGCTCAAGCACAAGCGAGGGAAGTAGACAATCTTAGTGACAATAAGCACGACAATGATCATTATTTCCATGTCAGGCAACATGTGCAATGTTGTTTTCTCTCCTCACCAGAATACCAAACTATAAACTCTGTCTCAGTTGTCATTGGGCATGGAATGATCCACAGAGTGTTTGGCCAAAGTAAAGAAGAGCAATACCAAGTAGTGTGTCCGCACTGCCGCAATCCAGCACCTCAGGTGATGAGGGCTTTTGTTGGAGGTCTCGGAACCAATAAAAAACTGGTTGATTTCCACACATGAGGTCACCAAATCAACGAATACAACTACCATGTCACTGTCCAATTCACAAAGAAAGTGGTGGAGATCAATCAAGACTTATGCATGTAAGCACCAATAAAATTGTCCCAAATGATGGAAACGGAAGGTGTCACTCTTGACTGATTCAAAGATTTCAAAGGAACATGAATCATCACAAAGCTGATCAGATAGATGACACAACAGGCACAACACCTACGGTAACACTCCTCAACGATTCATGCCAAGGTGCGACACTTGAGTTCGAAGTCCATTCTGTCCATTCTCAGCCATGGCTGCAGAGCTAAGGACCAAGGACTGGACCTAGGACAACTGCGCCTCTGGAAGTTCCATGAAGTTCCACAACCTAACTTGGCTACGCTGATACACAGTGCATGTGCTGCATGTGATGTTTTTTTGCATGATGTAGCCCTGTCGACGCAAGGCGACGCGTTGCAAAACTTGAGTCAAAACAGCTTGGTCTTCGGACAGTATCCGTCGTATCTGTGCATGGCTTAGAACTGCTCAGCCAATGCCTCTAGAGATATGCTAGGCACGGATTCTGTACTCAGGTCATCTCAGGTCCACATCTTCCAGGTTGTAAATAAACCTTGGTATACCATTTTGAATCTATGTCTATACCATTCTATACCTACAAAATCCTACAAATGGTACAGTTAGAAATACTTGCTGTATCAATGTACAATGTACAACATCCCTTTGGATCACCCTACCACGTTCGCAGCCGCATCTGCTGATCTGCCCAGGCAGCTTTTTGCGCCGGGGAGCGGGCGTCCTTATTTCAACTCGGGTAACCGTGGAAGTTCCAGAGACTTATGTCGTCTCCTGCGCAAGCGATGATCAAATGATAGATGTGGAGCAATAGATGTGGAGCACTAAAATTTGAGATCGCCCACCTCTAAAGGTCACAGATACAGTACATATAATATCATATTATTAAGTTGAAAACTAAAAGTGCCGGAACAGTAAAAGGAAAGAAACAACTATTAATAGTACTGTACTTGTATGAAGGCTGGCTGTAGAGCCTATCAAGTGGTCTGCTTATTTCAAAAAGGGTATCAAAGCTTCTGTCAATTTGACCAAAACTAAACTGGTATGGAAGCGCAGAGACACAAAAAACATCAAAAAACATCATTACGAGATGTGTGCAAATCTGACCGCCAATGTCGCCATGTACATATTCCTGTTGTCTGTTGTCTCCTGTTCTTGTAACGTCGTCGAATACGATATGGGATCATCACCACGTCGGGCCGGGGGTCACCTGCCAGTATTCCACTGAGGAATATCACAAGGTGGAATGCTGCTGTGAAAATGTGTTCACTAGTTGAGATATGTTGAGATTGCAGACAATTTGCAGTGCACTTCTCGCAGAGCATCACTGCACTCAAGCTCCATTCATTGATGAGTGCACCCTGGAAAGACATGGAAAGACTGTGTCATTTCTTGTGATTCTCCACAAAACTCATCCTGAAAGTGTCAACGAATGTGTTGCACTCCCATTGGTTATGCTACTACACAGATCTTCAGGACATTTCAAGATAATTCGAAATAAATATTTGTCCACTTTCTTGACCATCTTAGGTACTTTAATAATCACAGTGTGATAGAAGTCATCAACTGAGATCGGGACTGGTGAGAAACTCCTCAAGGCTGCAACCATTCTCCAGCATCTCGACTGCGTGGTTGAATTCTTCCTGCAATTTGGATCAATTTGGCATGGATATCCTGGAGATTCGCCGTATTTTCGAACATTTGTGGGAAACTCACTGGACACCATGCCCAAGTCAAATAGAAGGAGGGCTGGAGTCGGCTGGAGCTTTCCCACAAGAATCCACGTAACATCACGTAACAAATACAAGTCATCCACTACAGAAAGGTCTGCCTCACAAAGTGATGGTGAAACGTTGTAAAACAAGAGCAAAAGGTAAACACTAGGGCCCAAAAAAACAGTCTCTCGAAAACAAAGAGTCATACCCTGAGAATCCCTGAGATACCTGCTGATGCCTTGAGCCTTTAGTGTTTCAGCGTTCCATTCTCCGGTTGAGTTCCTTTAGTTGCGCCAGCCGCTCTCGCCGCAACACGATATTGAGATCCCGAAATTCAATGGGGTCCTGGCGTGTCAACATTGCACAGCATGGCACAACCACGATTGCCCAAGCTGCCACGGGATTCTCAGGGGTTCTCACCTCACCCATTGAGCGCTTAAACCAACCAACAAACATCAACAGACCACAGTCAAATGAGATCAAAACATATCAAAACAATATCCATCAATATCCCACAAACATCCACACACACAAAATGGTTACATCATGTTGCATCTGCCCGACCTCCACATGAATGGTGGGCTCTGGATGAATAGACCCAAAGAGTCGAAACCTGCGGCATCTTGGTTTTCATATGTCATGCTTCAACAAGAATGACGTGATCCTTGGAGCTCGTTTGAAATGTCGGCGTTTGGCAAAAGTTGCTGGGTGATGATTTGAAGCTCAAGGGATGTGACGCCAGGAAACTGCACAAACACGCGGCACAGCCATTCCAGTTCATGCTACATGCACCACTTCCAGAGTTCAGCGTTCTTTTTCATTCTTTTTCAAGGCGTGCGTGCAAATGCAAATGTTCTCGCTTAGCAAGTGCCGAACTCAAAGTGAAATCGTGAAACCGTGTGAAACATACGTTGAAACACCTTCACTAGCTACATCAGTCTCCATGCCTTCATGGAGAGTCCACATCGGAAGGATTCCATTCATCGCTGTCCTCACTGGGACCATGCTGTGATGCTGGGTAGCCAATGGATGGTGTCATGCGCTGGATCTGAGCTCTACCCCGAAGGTCCTTGTAGAAGCGGTCGAGCCCAGCTTCTTCCTCTCTCTGCCTCTCGACAGCCAACTGGCGCTGGATGCTCTGAACCCAGGCTGCTTGGTCCTTCCTCTCAGTGACCGAATCCTCGATCCATTGTCGATCAGCACTGACCGGCTTGATTCCGCGGCTGGCGAGGCTTTCTTGGACCTTGATCCACATTTCAAGCTCCACGGCGTTGGGGTACAACTTCACCAACTCCATCTGTTGCCTTTCCAAAATGCTGAGAGTCTCTTGACACTCGAAGCCGATGCATTTCAAGACAGCATAGATCTTGGCACGACAGTCTCGCTCAAATCCATTGGTCAACCACTGTGAGCCCTGATGCTCCTGGGCAGATGCCGATGCTCTCTCAAAGCCCTTGGTCACAGTGGTGCGATTGGCACTGCCTGTGCTTTGGCCACCAACACTTTGACCGCCCAGGGTGTCGGCAAAGTTCTTGGCATGGCGGAACTTTCCAGCAAGGCGGCTCGCACTGGTCACGGTGCTTTCGGCATCCTCATCATGCCGAGCCGGTCGTGGATTCAAAGGCTGGTCCAAGTCTTTGATGACTCCATCTGGCGCCAAATTTCCAGCAGCTTCTTGCTCACTTTGCCACAACTCCAGCAGCAATCTTAGGGCTCCTTTCATGGTGACCTGCGAGTTCCATTGGGTAAACAATTTGGCTGCCTTCTTGTACTCCATAAGGTCTGCCAAGGTGCCGATGATTTGGCGCTTTAAGATCATGGGGGCAACTTCCAAGCAATCAAGCAAGGCAAAAAGCCCGCCAGCATCCAGGAACCGAATTTCGTTTTTTCGAGTTCCAATCACAGCGTTCCAAATGCAGTCAACCACACACAGGCTGTAGAAGAGGTGATTGTCCGTGGTCTCACCAGGGCGGTAGATCACCTCATCTCTCATAGCTTCAACGCCATCTTTCTTCCGAAACTCTCGTGCATTCGCTGGGCACTCCTTACACATCGTGGCCAAAATGGAGGCACACATCTGCCGGGAGGTCATAGGATTGTCCTTGTCCGTGAACAACTCCACCAGAGTTCCAACTGCACCGATTTGGCCCAGCTTCTCTGCAAAGGCCTTGCCCATTCTCACGGCCACCTGCAGAAGGTGCAGACATTTTTTCTGTACTTCTCGGCTCCGTGTGGCCTGCAGCAGTTGCAGCACGGTGGAATTTCCTTCCGCCTCCATGAAGGCCTCTGGGATGTACTGCACCAGTTGGAAGAGAGCCGACAAAGCCTCCAACTGGATTTTGCGGCGTTGTTCCTGACTCCATTTTTGTTGTTCAACTGGAGGTTCAGGATCCAAACATTCCAGTAGTGAAGGGACTAAGCCACATTGCACTGCCAACTTGGCGCAATCTTCAGAAGAACAGCACCGTGCTAGGGTTCCCCAAAGAAGGGTTCGAAACTCCATATCTTCCTGGGTGTTGATAATGGGGATGCCGCCCTTTTTGGGTGCATCGTCAAGATCTGGCAACACCTTGCTCTTCAAGTTGTTCTCCAGATCGCCACTGGCCTGCAAGTCCTTTCTTCGCTTCTCAGACACTGCATAACTCAGCAGCAGCGTCATCAAACCGGTGGAAGCAAACAAAGAACGATTCTCCACACGTTTGGAAATGTACATCAGGAGTACCATCATGTCATTCCGAAAGATTTTGTCCTTGAAGCGATAGCCCCTGGTGAGGACGGCATGCATGAAGTCTCGAAAAGATTCAATGACCTCCTCTTGTCCAAGGGCCTCAGTGGCGCCGTCCCAGTCTAATTCCAGGACATTCCACAAGACCTCAGCAGCCACCAGCAAGACATCTGAGCCCAGCAAGTTCACCCGAATCACATGAACCAGGTTGGAGATCAAGCCACAGTTGGTGATCTGACATGCCAAGGGCCTGTACAGCGACATATCTCGGATGGCACCAAGAGTGATGACAATGGATTCAGGGCTGTCCTCTGATCTGAAAGAAGCAGAAACTGCATCCATGACGTTGGACTGTCGCAGGATCCGCAAATTTGGAGTACCCGAATCTGCCACTGCTTGGATCAAAGGCTGGTTGGGAAGCAGCTCCACACTATCCTCATCCAATCCAAAGCGCGCCCAGCATGCCAAGGTATGAGCCACTTCAATGCGCAGCCGTTCCGACATGTTCTTCTTGTGTTCCCATTGAGCTTTCGCCTCTGGTTCAACTGGTGGGCCTTCTGTTGGCGGCAAAGTGTAGGTCAGAACGCTCACAATGCCTTTCACGAAAGCTGGTAGATGATGACCATAGGTGATCATGTCAGATGTCTTGCAGCTGACAAAGGGTTGTGAAGCCACCCGAGTGAAATCGCAAAGTGCTTGTGCTAAATCTTGCCCTTTGGCAAATCGATCCACTGACAAGTAGAGTAACTCCACCAACGGCTCCAAATGTCGCAACAGGAAGCCATTGCAACAAACCTTACAGAGCTTTCGAATGGCTGCCACATGCCGATCCACCAGATCAACGGTGTATTTGGAGGTCATCAATTCCATGATAGCTCCGAAGTCCACCTCATCTGGCGCTGAGGCCACCATGCCACGATTTGGCTCGGCCGTGTTGTCCATTCTGCGGTTGGGAGTGTTCGATGGGTCACACCCGAAGATCAGCAAAAAAACGCCTGATTGTCAACATGACTGCTTCAAAGCTGCGTAGAGTCTCTCTGTGAGTATCAGGCTTTTCGGTGAGTATGTGATTTATTTTTTGAACACATAGCATAGCTGTATTTTGGTGGAAATGCCAAAACATAAACTGTGGCTGGCTATTACCTTATCCAATGCTGCATGCAATCTACAGTGAACCGCCTGTGATCCTTCAAGCAAGTCACGGTATCTCAGCCAGATCAAGTGGTCAAAACTGGCTTTGGTTCAGAATCAGCAAGCATTTTGAACATGGTGAAAAACCATGGTGGAAAACCATGGTGAAAAAACATTGTTCGGCTGTCACTGACGCCCAAGACCCGGGATCCAGGGCCAAGGCCAGTCACCAACATCTCGTCGGTCCGGCTGTCGCATTGACACCGCCTCGCTCGCAGATTTAGGGCCAAGGATTCCAAGGTAGCAAGAGAAGTAGGAGAAACGCATGGCTCTCTCCCAAATTGATCCAAATTGGGGACAATATGGGACATAAGGGGCCATTTCACGGATTGGTTTCCCTGTCTCGATCGAATGAGCTTGGACACATGTTGATCCTCAATTACACCCTCCAGCAAACAAACGTGGAACGAACCTGGCAACCCGACCCCCCTTTTGAAAATACTTTACTTTACACAAAAAAAAATCAAACACTATCGAACTGAGAATGTACCCAAAAGATCTGAATATGTGCGATGAAACCTTCATTTCTTGCGGGTTTTGGTCTCAGTCATCAGGTGTTGCCCCCAAACTCTCGGCCATACCACACCTCTGAGCCCCACTGGTACCTGTGCGGATTCCCAAATCTTCATCTCCCAAGATGGTCCAGTGGCCATTGACCAATCCTAATGTGACTTCCACTGCAAAAGGATGAAAGGGTATAGATTGGAAGGATGATCTCCATTTAATTTCCCAAGGATCGGTTTACTTTAAGCTTACATGAACGCCTCCTTCACATCTTCTGCTTTTCTTGCAAATGGCAAAGCAGTAGGGTTGTCCCAATTCTTGTAGAATTATAACACCTTGTCGCTTTGTGACCTAGCCCTGCTACTGAATGGTCGAACAGAGGTAGGTCCGGCTTGAGACGTCAACGAAGGAATGGAGAGGTCACTCCCTGTCAAAGAAGCGCACGAAGCCATATAGGAGCTGCGCCTTGCTTCAGTCTGTGAAATTGCAGCCTGATAAAGATACTATCCAACCGAAACATTCTAGAACAAAATGCGGTTTGCAAGTGCGATCTCAGGCCTAGAGTTGTTCGTCCCGCTGTGAAACGCAAACCCCACCATACAATTTAAGTTGACTGGAATAGGTCAAAAGTGACCCATTGCGGTCACTCCCAGGGTCCAGCTCAACTTGAGGGCCAAACCACAGTCAGATCTGCCTGTAGCTGTCGTGCAAAGTTTTGTGCGTCCATAGTGTACACAAGAGCCGCTGTGATGCTTGGGCTCTTTGCGCTGTAAGTAAGCTAGAAACTAGAATTATAGATTAACAATGATTAACTTATCTTCACATATTGCAAGAGTGCTTCTTTCATCCTGCTTAACAGCGTCATTGCAACTATGCAGGATCATTGTTATTTTCTGGGCCTCCATAATCTGCAGGACCCCTAGTGGACTCGTGGATCACCTGTGTCATCAGTGACACGTATATAAATGTATGTCATTATAAGGTCCCATTTAAAAAATAAATGTCATTGAATCATCATGAATCATCCACCTGCCCCAACAAAACGCATCAGAAGCAGCTGTCACAGCTGAGTCTCACGCCTTTGCTTTGCATGGCGGAATCTTCTTCTCAGCCACTTCTTGTTGGTATTCCTAGAGGATTCGGCTCATCCCGATCGCTTCATCCAAGACCCCTGATCTAAAGCCAAGCCTCCTGAATGGTTGAACAATGGCATCCAACAACAGGTTCGATCTGCTTTGATGATGCTTCATGACTGTTTCATGTTCCATACCACCACAATTAACCTTGAAGCTTCATCAATCTTCATCATATTATCTCCTATTGTCCTAGGTATTCCATGGTATTCCTAGGCAGAGATGTCCATTCCCCGTGTCCTCTGCGGTGAGGAAACCGGTCTCAAATGAACGGGGAATACCCCAGTAGTCCACGTGTTGCAGACTCCTGCGGCGCATGAAACCGATGCGTACATGTTTTGAAGCAATGGCACAGTTCCAATATGTTCTATAATGATATTCCCACGATTGGCAACTTATATAACTGACTGATGTACGAGTTCTTTCAAAACAACATCGTAACACCTTGCAGCAGTTGCGCTGAGATGCCGCGCCATGCCGCGCCTACTTTTTTTGTACAGCAGCTGAAGCGATGGAAGAATCCCAACCAGCTGTAGGAAATAGACGACCTGCAATCACACTTGAACAGCCAAAATCTCGCTGCCACCCGGGAGTCACAATTAAATCTGATTTGCTCAAGCATGTTGAAATTCATATGTTCATCTTGATTGGTGTCGAGAGAGCGCAGTTGTCAAAAATCAACGCACACATTACACTATAATAATATTGTCGACGATGTTTCTCTGTTACTGCATCCGTCTAGCTAAAATTCTTTCTTTTGTCCATGTAAGCGTGCCGGATGGGCCATGATCGTCCAGGAGTACGACGACAGGTTTCCCTCTCCAGCACCACATACGCGCTTGCCTTTTGCCCACACCTGTCAGAGCAGCACAAAAGGCCTGGAAACCAAAACTGTCTGTGCCATTTAATTTGCAAACTGGAACAATATTCTGCAGGTCGTTGGAATACTGACCTTCACGAGAAGCACCAACGGTCGCACTCTCCTTGGCATTTGGACCATCCCAGGAACGCTATGGCAAGGCTTCTACACGGGCAAACACAAACTTGTTTGACCGTCTTTCATCAGGCTGCTCATCAACCATGTATAGAATATGAATATCATTTTTCCCCACCTGCCAGGTGAGGGTTGTTAGATTTTATGTCAGTTGCCTCCTCGTCCTCCTCCTCGTCCTCCTTCTCCTCCTCCTCCTTCTCCTCCTCCTCCTGCCTCGTCCTCCTCTCCTCCTCCTCCTCGTCCTCCTCGTCGTCCTCGTCGTCCTCGTCGTCCTTGCTCAACTGCGACCTGCGATCCACAGTGTTCTCTGCCGGGCCTCAACCACGACCATCCACGCCCAGTGTTCCCTGCCGGACCTCAACCACGACCATCCACGCCCAGTGTTCCCTGCCGGACCTCAACCACGACCATCCGCGCCCAGTGTTCCCTGCCGGACCTCAACCGCGACCATCCGCGCCCAGTGTTCCCTGCCGGACCTCAACCACGACCATAGAATGTCAGAAAGAATGTCAGAAAGAACGCCAGATAGAATGCCAGAAAGAATGCCAGATAAAATGCCAGATAGAATGCCAGATAGAATGCCAGATAGAATGCCAGATAGAATGCCAGATAGAATGCCAGATAGAATGCCAGATAGAATGTCAGAAAAAATGTCAGAAAGAATGCCAGATAGAATGCCAGAAAGAATGCCAGATAGAATGCCAGATAGAATGACAAATAGAATGCCAGATAGAATGACAAATAGAATGCCAGATAGAATGCCAGATAGAATGCCAGATAGAATGCCAGGTGGAATGTCAGAATATATGTCAGATAGATTGCCAGATAGAATGCCAGAATATATGTCAGATAGAATGTCAGAATATATTCAAGATTTGTCCAAATATACGTCCTGACATGTCCTGACATGTCATGGTGGGGATCACACGAAGTAAAGTAATTTTTTAATAGACTAATAGACTATTCATATAATTCAATCAGTGTGCGTAGATTGAGAAAGATGGCAGGGTCGGCTCAAACCTCAGTTGTGGAAGTATGCTCCACATCACATTCGCGACGTTGCCATATCCAAGGCACTCATCAAGTTGGGAGTAGGCTTTCAGCAGCTGCGAGTTGTAGAGTGGCAAACCTTAGGACTTCAAGGCTGGCATGTACAGAGTATATGTTGTATGCTCATCCATCCCAGGGTGGGAATCCTTAAAAATGGTTATATATGTAAATCTGTAAATCCCTATCAATGGATTCATTTGTATTGCTTTTCATCCTTCAATATAGATATTATTTGCATAAATTTACCCAAGGTTTAGTTTTGACCATGGCACATGTAGAACCTGCCAAGCTTGCTTTGACAAGCTGAACGTGAAGAACCACAGCACGCATCAGAGTTCCTCAAGCTATACCTATATAGTATAGTCATACTGTCATACCATATCAATCCATATCATAGATAGCCAAACGGTCCAGCTATGTGTTTACATAGCTACCGCTCTGACACAAGTTGGCTTTCAGCCATTCAACTTGGAAGTTGTTGGATGTCGAATGATGTTCATTGATGGTACTCAGCGCCGGTATGAAAGACCACTCGAATCACTTCCCAATATTAAATAAGCCCCAAACAAAACGCATCCGGTTGAGTCCTGGATCTATTCATGAAATTGGATGAAATTGGATGATCATGGAGTTATTCAATATTAGGGGGATGGCTAACATCAAACATCTCTCAGCTGGACTTTGCCCAGGTCCTGGACTGTTATTGATGGACACATCGACTTCCTTCAAAGGACCTTGCCTGTTCCGCTGCGGTTGAAAAAAACGAGGGCCAACTTTCCGAGATTCCCAACTTTGGAGTCACTGGCAGTAGCTTCAATGAATAGAGTAACCCTCCAGTCAACACACATTGCAGACATTGCATATTCACTGAAGTGAACACATTTTAAAGGAATCAACCATACAAATTGCTGTGGAACAACATGTGAGCCCTCAGGATCTATTTTTGAGCCCAAGAAAACAATATTGCTGGCACTAAGAAAATAAATCAACAGTGCAAGGTTCAACAAGCCTAGATGACACGACCGCAAAGCTTTCCCGAGTCCATCCGCTTGGCTGTGCACGTGTCTTCTACAGTCACCAAAGGCTTTCGAGCTTGTGGTATCAAATCCAGCACCTTCCATATACATGACACGAACGCACTATGCGCATTCCCATACACAGCTTCAGACAAGCGTGCGGGGTGGATTACTTTGGTGATTAGTAGCAATTTCGCACGGTTTGTGGCGTTGTATGGAATTTGCATGAACTTGGAGCATGTGGGAGCCAACTACACCAATACAACTACCATATCCTAGATCATATCAAATGTTTCCAAATGTTTCCAGTTTCCAAATGTTTCCAGATTTTCCAGATCCAGATTTTCCAATTTTTCCCAATATTTCCCTAATCGCCTTGAAGCCCAGCTCCGGCAAAAATTCTGCCAGCTGCTGAACCGCATGACACATCGCCTGCTGCACATCATTCTCACATGTTCATGGACATTCTTTTTTAATGGAAACTATATGGGACTGTATGATGAGATACGAGAAGTAATTTTAATTCCATTGATGCATATGTATATATATATATATATAATATGTATAATATATATATATATATATGTATACAATAATATATATATATCTTTAATATGTATATATAATACAATGTATATAATAATATCAATAAACATATAATCATTATCATAATACATATGATGAGAGATACGGGGCCACTACATTATCTACATTAAGGCATACCATATTTTTGGACAAATCAACTTTGAATTCTAAATGGCGCACCGCTGTGGACAACTTTAGATGTTGCCCACTGTAGCAAACTGTAGCAACGAAAATGTGTCAACAAATTTGTGACTACACCACAAACATCCACAAACAGTAAACTTAATCTCCTGCCAGGAAGGTGCATCATCACATCCTCTATGTACCTCACATCTGAGCTTCTTGAGGCTAAGAGTCTTGCAGCCTTTGGTGTGATTTTGGTCGGTAGCGAGGGCCTGTGGCAGATGTGCTTTTCAAGTGCTGAACATTTCACACTCGATTCAAGATATTCTTCAACCATGTCACGTAGCAGCCAGTGTATTTGGAAAGACTGAATCTGCAATCAGAGTCGAGGCGTTAGCTATCCCAAGTCTGAACCTTATTCATCCATGTTCTATCATTTATTTTCTATCATTTCCTCCTGTGTTCTCCACCCAAAATCAAACTCACCAGGGGCACCCTTTTACAGTAATCGCAACCAACTTGGCAGGCTGAGTTTCCAGGCTCTGCCGGATCACCTTGCATCAGGAATTCGCTGAGCCTCGACACAAATCATGCTATCGAGCTGCAGGTGTGAGAGGATCAGGCAGAAGCTAGCATTCAATGAGCAAGATTGAGTAGGTACATCGCGTGGCTGATTGGTGCAATACTGCCCTGGCTCAAACCTTCTCAATCTGGCTTTGTCTGAACATGGGGTACCTTGAAAGTGCCATCGAAGATATTTCATAGCCGGGAAACAGATGTTCTCAATTTTAAACCATTGGACTTGGATTCCCTGTTTTCAGACAGAGCATCTGCTGCCACAAAAAACTGAGTCCTACGGGGCCTCTGATGCCGCTGTGCCCAGCTGGCATAGCTCATGTAGTAAGATAACTCCTGGCATCCAAGCTGGACCTAACAACAGATGCGCCACTCCCAGTGAGAGATCAACACATGAACATCACTGAATTTACATTGTGTATATATATATGTATATATAAACATGCCAACTTGCTGTTCATGTGCAAATGACACATGCCAACTTTGTATAAATCACCATCATATTTCATACAAAGGTCAGGGATACGGGATAATTACAAACAGGTCAGCAGATTGCTGATGACCTTCCGTCCTCCTCCCGAATGGCTACCAGCACATCAAGGTCGGAGGATTCCTGCCATCATCTGCCATCCCATCCTACGCCAGCCCTTTGAGTAACCGTGGGGCTAAAATGGTAAAATCTTAAGGCCCTCCAATCATAATCCACAAAAAAGTGGCTGAGTCATTTTCAGTAGCAAAGCGTACATAATTCCTTCTATATCTGTTGCAGTGTGCTGAATTTAGAATTGTATTTTTTAATCCTCACTTGATATCCTTCGATATATTTTGATATCCTTGCCCCTTTGCTCTGATTCTTGTTGGATCCTCCATCAGTGAAAGCTGCGACCTTGTCGGTAAAAAAAATGGGGCACCCATTTTTTGAAATCCTCGTGTTCAATCATTTTCAGTGGTAAACCATAGTCAAACATCCAATTTTGGATGGATTCACACGTTTTTCCCATTTTTGTTCCTCCCCAAATGTTCCACACCTCACCAAATCCATTCACCGTGGAGCCAAAGGGATGTACCGTGGCAGAGGGCGCCTCAAGGGAACTCCATTTTTTGGGACGGTCATGGTCATCCTATTCCTCGTAAGTACTAAGTATGGTCTGGTCTGAAAATGAGGGACTTTCAAATTTGATGGTTTATCCATGTTTATATGTTTATATATATATACACAATTAACCGTGCTTAAATCCCATCCCTTTATCGAATCATGCTCACTATTGAAGATTGCCGTTCTTTTGGTAAAGCTGTATGGTAGTGAAAAAAACATGAGTCTAACTCGCCACGAAGTGGGATGATCATCCTCAGTCACACGCATACATGCCACATCTGCTGAAGTTGTTTGCGATTGTTGTCGATCTGGTTGACATTTCAACACCATGCCATTCAAACCAAATGTATTCATAGGCTCCCCCGCAACACATCTTTGTGCGCCACTCTGGATGCGTTCCACCACGTCTTGGACAACTTCATCTGCCTTGCAACGGGCAGGGCTGGGGGATCAAGGAATACATCAAGCATAGGATGGACCAGGATAGACCAAGATTGCTAAAATGACTCGTGGAATACACTGGGGAGTGACATACAAATCTCATAGGCGATTTACGACATATTCTTCACCAATTCTGCATGACTAAATTGATGGGTATCATTGATGTCAAACATTGGGAGAGGAGCACCAGGATGTCTTGACAAGAATTTGACAAGGACATCTGCAGTGTTGCACCATCCGCCAAAGCGACATGGTCAAAAAACGATTCTGCAAAGGATGGAATCAGACCACATGCCAGTCCCCCAAGGGGATCAGAGAACGACAAGATCCAGTGCCTGTTGGGGCACATGTCCGAACTTCTGCATGACATCATCAGCCATATCGCTGTGTAGAGTCACCTGGCATGCGTAAACACTCCACAGCAACTTCTTCGTTGTACGGATGTCTTTCTTCCTCAAACACTCAAACACTGAATCGAACCTACTCTCCAACACAGCACAACTTATAGACTTATACCCTTCAGTCCAGCATGACAATTTCATACAATGTCCACTTTCGTCTCCAGCCAACCTCCAACCCTTGGATCCATATGGATCCAAATGGATCCAAATGGATCCATCCTCCGTTCCCCTTTGGATCCCCATCTTGAACTCCCCCATGGATTCCATGGCCTCCTTCAGCCATTCTTCGATTGGAAGTCTCACCTCGCCGATGCCAATCCCTTCCTCTTCAGCAAAGGCGCGCCGATCCTCTGGCGTCATCTCGGAACCAAAGGCTGCCAGCGCACGTGGCCGCGCGCTTGTTCCGCGACGTCTGCGACGGCCAGACGTAAGAAAACGTAGATGAAAGGTGGTGGTGATACAGATCCAATGTTGGGAGAGTCCAGGCTGAAGATTCTGAAAGGTTGTTGACTTTATTGGATACTTTCGGAAAGACAATCAAAAAAATATTCCTAAATTTGATAAAGTGTTAATATATTTTCCCCTGCTGTTTTGGCTGGGCTAATGTCTGGGGTTTCAAATTGCCCTGTAAAGCATCAAAGGCTAGTGATCCTTGAGATCTCTTTCATTTCACATGGCTGGAATATCTTCTTGCATGGAGACATCACCACTTACATTTGTTCACAGTGTTGCCCATGAACCAGCGTTAATAGCGTTGACACTTTAAAATACGACATAATTACAAAAAATTGCACACAGTAGATAATAGATACATGTCACATTCAAACATATCATATCATATGATATAGGCTTATGTAGGCGTCTTGAGTCGTGAGTTTGCCCCTTGCCAAGTGCGGTATCTTAACCCGCCCTCACGACCCAGCCTCCAAAGGGCTGCAGCAAGGCATCCTGAAATTGTGACAATTAAAATCACAAAAGCAGAAGGGAACGGATCAAAACAAACGTTTAAGGCCCTTAGCAACTACATTTGTTGACCAACTTAATGTGATATATACATATCATGATATGTATATATATATATATATGTATGTATGTATGCATGCATGCATGCATGTAATTATGTTTGTTTGTATGGTTGTATGTTTGTATGTTTGTATGTTTGGTATGATTGTTATGTATGTAATGTATGTAATGTATGTGATGCATGTAATGTATGTAATGTATGTAATGCATGTAATGTATGTAATGCATGTAGTGTATGTTATGCATGTTATGTATGTTATGTATGTTGTGCATCTTATGTATGTTATGTATGTTGTGCATGTAATGTATGTAATGCATGTTTTGGATGTTTGGATGCAATGTATGTAATGTATGCAATGTATGTAATGTATGTAATGTATGTAATGTATGTAATGTATGTAATGTATGTAATGTATGCAATGTATGCAATGGATGCAGTGAATGTAATTTATGTAATGTATGTGATGCATGTAGTGAATGTAATGTATGTAATGTATGTAATGTATGTAATGTATGTAATGTATGTAATGTATGTAATGTATGTAATGTATGTGATGTATGTAATGTATGGAATGTATGTAATGTATGTAATGTATGTAATGTATGTAAAGTATGTAATGTATGTAATGTATGTAATGTATGTTTTGCATGTTATGTATGTTATGTATGTTATGTATGTAATGTATGTTGTGCATCGTATGCATGTTATGCATGTTATGGATGTTATGTTTGTTGTGCATCTCATGTATGTAATGTATGTAATGTATGTAATGCATGCAATGTATGCAATGGATGCAATGGATGCAATGAATGTAATTTATGTAATGTATGTAATGTATGTAATGTATGTAACATATGCAATGTATGCTATGCATGTTATGCATGTTATGCATGTTATGGATGTGATGTATGCAATGCATGTAATGTATGTAATGTATGTTATGTAATGATTTTTATTTTATGTCATGTATGTTATGCTATGTTATGTTATGTTATGTATTTCTTGTTATGTTATGTTATATGTGATGTGATGTGATGTGATGTGATGTAAAGTAAATGTAATGTAAATGTAATGTCAATGTAATGTAATGTAATGTAACCTAACGTAACGTAATGTAATGTAATGTAATGTACGTACGTACGTAAGTATGTATACTCACACCCCTAATTTTTAGATTTTCGGGGTACCCATGGGCACCCCAACTTTAACCCATTTCAGTGACTGATACTCATCCCCAGCACCACAGCAGGCCCCGCGCCTAGGGTACTCCCTCTGCAGCGGGTATGGCCACCATCCTTGGTACGGTGACTCCGCTCTCTGCCAGGGCCACGGGGTGCCTTCCTGCGAGGGCCAGCGGTTCTGTCTTTGTACAAGTCATTGAGTCACTTCAGTTGCTACAATACCTCAAACACATCCGGTGAAAAACTATGTAAGTCTATAAACTATCAACAACCATTACACACTAATTATATTGATCTATATTATACGTAAGTATAAGCTGTAAGTAAAAAAACACTTACAACATCTTCCTCAACTTACAGCATCTTCCTACACTCACTTCTCGCGTTCGGGACCGATGTGGCACAGGTGAAGCACCTCACCAACGGCAGGCTGTCAGGCAGAGCCTCAGCGGTTTTTATGCGATGCAAACATGACCAACAAATATCAGCAAGAAAATCATTAACATCTATTATATACATATTATGCATCTATTTTACTTCTATCTTACACCTCTAAATATCCGTAAATTATTTATAACGTGGGGGTGGATGAAAACGTATTCTATCATATTCGGGGGAATGAACGTCCATTTACCGGAAATTTGGATGTTCCACAGGAGTACAGGGTTTTGACCCATAGCCATGTTGGATTTGGATGGCATTTGTTGGTACTCATAGTAACTCCCAGCGCTGATCTTGTGAGGCTTCTAGCTGGCTGGTTTCATCCCGCCTGAAAAATAGGACAGTCATTGGGGATCATCATCCAGAATATGGTTGAACAATTTTGAACAACTAATACCACCAACCCCGTTTATATTGGGCATATACTATATGCAAAGGGGTACTATACAAACATCAACATGGGTATACGATGGTATAGGTATATACACAACGCCCAGTCTTGACAGTTTTGACCATCAACATCCATCAACACTTGTGGCTGCGATATCGCGTGCTGTCAACATAGTGTCCATCTGAGTCTCAGCTGGTGTGGCCAGAGCCGTGGCTGCCATTGCGACGTGCTGAAATTTCGCTGCTACCAGAAGTGCAACACTTGTGTGGTGGACTACATCTTCAAAGTGAACTACGGTTTTTTGAGCAAGAAAACTGAGATGGCACAACATAGATTTGCCGGTTTACATGAGCATGCTTGTAGAATTCTGGAGATTCCACGGGGTATCATTAGATTTGACTGTTGGAAGCGCACGTTGTTGGTCTCAACCTTGCCAGCCATGTGGGCCATGGGCTGGATTCAAGCCGGCTCACCCTCGTTGGTGTGCTCTTCACAGCTTAAGCCCGTGGCATACCAGGAGCAACTGCAACTTGATAAGTTTCTCACACTCCGAAGGCCATGGTCAGCATCTTGCAGTACAAGTAGTACAGATATCATCAGATATCTACAGATAGTACGGTGAATTGTACAGTGATAGTACAGTATCCCTTGACTTGACACCCCACAGGTCACCTCAGGGCCACCTTTTCTTTTGCCGGAGCTTTCCAACGCGCCGGGATAGCGCAGGGTGCACGCTCGCCCGTGAAGAGCGCATCAATTTCAGAAGCCCCGGGAAACCATTGACGAATGTGTTCAACCATTTGGATGGAATGCACCACTTGGCTATGGAGGATCCGGATCTTCCGGCTCATGCCATGTTCTATGATCTTCCATCATGCATTGTTGTTGCAGTTTGGTTAATCAATATGAATCAATGCCTTTCACATAGTGGACTGTGTAAGGAGTACCTCGCAGTGCTGATCCTAATGATCTACGCAGGAGATACCCACCATGTTCGACCTCTGCATTGGAGGTGCCAGTCACCCTGGCTAGGCCTCAAAATATCGTGATAAGCGTGAAGAAGGTGTACACCTGGGCAGCTTAGGAGGAAAAACCAGATGGGAAGTGGTTGAGCCATGTTGAACCACATATCCCATGACATCCCATAACCGTGAAATCCAATTTGGATCATCCTTGCAGGTAGGTAGGGCTGAAAACAATGTTTTTAACATACACTTGAAACTACCTAAAGAACAAGCTAGTTGGTGTGGAATTCTTTGCCCCAAGAACAAAATCACGTCCCCCCATGAATTGCCTCTTTCGCCTGTACCAAACGGGGTTAAAGTCGAGATTCTACAGTGCAAGAAGTCACGGAAATGTAGTGCTCTTCCAGTTGACCCCAAGTGCAATGTCATGGCTTTGTCCAAGGGGTATACCCCGAATCGATTGGTTCATCAGATTTCTTCCGCTTCTCCATTATTCTCCACAAAAAAGAGGACCATTTTTGGATTTCGGCCCCAGTTTTGGATCCTCGTCACCATCAGCATCTCAGTCCCCGCTAGGCATATGACTAGGCCGACAGGATAGGCCACCAGCCACCTTGACGGTATATGTTGCACCCATCCAGCGCTACTACCCCTACAAATAAAACGACTTTGACCTCATCATTGAATCATGGGTGTGTTTGAAGACATGCCATACCCTCAAAAAACCATTGTATATAACTACTAAGAAAATTATTTTTTTCATGCTTTTACTCCATTAGAATTGGAGATATCATATCTTTGGGCAAATTCTCTAAACCGCAATGCTGCAGAGTGTCTTGACTCTCTGGTGGGTGGCCAATGATGACATGAAATCTCGGGCTGAACCATGCCGCACAAAGTGAATGTTACCGGAGCGAGGCTGACATCTGAGCCAATGCCCGCTAAAAGTGAAGCCTATAATAACATATAATAACCGTCCATACCCAGCACTGCCTTTCCTGCTGCCCTCCCAAAAAGGTTGGTCCCTCAAAAGATAGAACAGTCAGAAGTGAAATCCAACTACCCTGATGGTAATCTACTAAGTAAAATTTACTACGTATTTTCAATGACTTCAAGCGTGTCCTTGGGGGGGACCCCGCACCAAGAAACCCACAGGTCTCCACCGGTGACCCACCCAAAGGGGCCTTTGGTCCTGCATGTGGATCGCAATGGCAAAGAATCTTGATGAGGAGGCAGTGGCCCAAGCTGCAGTGGCTGATGTCATGGGAATGGGGTGTGTGAAACAATGTCCAAGGTTGTAGATTGCATGACTACAATATAGTGTACTGTATGTATGTGTATTATAATAATGTATATATATATATATTATATTTATTATATATACATACAGTACATACATACTGTGTTGTAATATCACATATCAGTATGTTTCTATTGATAATATATATATATTAGTATGTATATATATATATACATAATTGTAAATAAATAACCACTGACAATTGATTAATTTAAGTTTGGGGGGTTGGAGTTGAGTCTTGAGACAGCAATTATTGAGTATCGGTGTCAATGTCCTTATGTCACAAACGGTTGAAACTCTAGGCTGCATTTTGAAGGCCCTGTTTTGGGTTGTAAACTCTCTGCAGGCTGGGAAGAAATGCTATGACAGGTGAGTTTCAACCATAAGTTGTCCTAGAATTTGAACAAACACACGCACACACAAACAATCATCGGGTGTCAGCTTGGCCTATGCAAATGGCTGCCATGACGCTGCCAAAGCTAGACCTCACAGGATTCATGCTGACTTATCTGACTTCAATGAAAATGCTACAAGTACGTATGTCATTCGAAGGCTCTTTGCACTCTGAACTTGGAAGGCCTTGACGGGATCTGATTACAGGGATCACTCACGTCACTTTTCCAGCTTCCTCCCCGCGACGTGACCAGCTAAAACCAGCTGAACCACAAAGAATCTGAGGCATGTTGGATGCAGCTCAGCTCAGCTTCCCACTTCAAAGACACGATGATGCCAAAGATTGCCAAGAAGACAATGGGAATAAGCCTGATCTTATCACTGAACACAAAAACACATCCACGATCATCCACGGCACTGCAACCAAAACTCCGCATCAATTCAGGTCGGAGCCCATAGCCCAAAATGCTCATCGTTCTGTAAAGGTCAATGCCTACCAGCGACCCCATGGCTAAAGAGGCATGGGATAATAAAAACATGCTCCGCATCAACCATGGACCATGAGTGCTTCTTCATGTTCCTTCTAATTACTGTCGTGTTTTTCGACTTCAACGACTTGACGTGGCAGTTTTAAACTGTGGCAGATTGGTGCTGTGATCAGCGACATAGTGGCGACTACGGGGTGGCCTTCCTTCTGGCTCATCACATTGATCAGGCAGCAAATGCCAAAGGAGCCGCCAGCGGCTAGGCCATAAACATACCTGACGTGCTCGTGCAAGGGTGCGTCACGGTGCACGTGCTGCGCGAATGCCACTTAAGTATACTTCAGTGAGAAATACCCACGCCGTGTCCTGACGAAGCAATCGTAAACTTTGCTTAGGATTGCCAAGGTCTGTCAGTCAATCTGCCATGTCAGGCCAAAATTAACATCTATCTGAGCGCAAAGGCATCAAAGCAAATTTTGATCTTTTTCAAGATAGTTGAGGCCAAAATGTAAATGAGGAGCACAAATCCTGCCGGAGGGCACCCGAATTGCAGCTTTCCAGCCAGCAGCAAGGCTAAGCCTCAAAAAACTGATTGGAAGAGGGGGACCTGAAATGAAACGTCAAGAAACAACTGCTTGGAGGGGATGCATACAAAACTAAAAGATAGCATAGTCATACCATAGCATAACATTGCACGACAATGCAATACAGTACTATACAATGCAATGCAATATCACTACCCTACAATACAAATGCAAACGCACATGCAGTACAATACAACACAACACAATGCAAATGCAAATGCAAACAACACAAATACACTCAAATACACATACAAATACACATACAAATACCCATACATTGTATTACACTGCATTACATTACATTGCATTACATTCCGTTACCAGAGCTTTCAAAGCAGGTTGATGGAATGTACTGATGCTCGCTGGCTATACCAGTATGTTCATTGCAGCATTTTGAATGTGCGTCTATCTGTATCGAAATCTGCCAATGATTTTCGTGCCGATGAAACCTGACGAATGCAGTGATTGCAGCCCGCCAATCAGCAGAGCGCATGGATTTGTATCTCACCGGCAAGCCTATTTGTGACAAACAATGTTTGTGGGATTCCCTTTTTGAAGCTTCCTCTGTGTATGTCTCAGGGAATGCTTCCGTGCCATGCAAAACCAATAGATTTTGGATGACTCGTTGTGAGGCATAGAAAAACTCAGCAATCCACATTCAACCGTCATGTGTCCACCAACCGCTGGGAATCTGATGGCTTTGGTCTTGGGACTTCCCACCCAGCGTCAAGCAAATCATCAAAGGTCCACTGAGATCTGCATCTCTCAGAATCTCCTCGCGGAACGGATGGCTGTGGAGAGGTGGTAAATTGTGGAACATGCGGAACAGTGGTGACATCATGATGTGGCATGGAGCCCCCTCCGCCCCAAGGGCTGTGTCCTGGGAACTATACAGTATTTGTAAATACTTCTTCAACGCTCTTGTATATCTTGTATAAACAGAGCTTTTGTCTGTGACTATGGACTAGTGTGTGTGTGTGTACACCCTTCTAACACAGGGCATGGTTCATTGCACATTTTCATACAACAATGCAGGGGGATGGAGAGGACGTATGAGGCTCCACCTAACGAAGCTCCTCATATGCTCCTAGGATATCACCAGGGACGCTTGGTGACGTACCTGCAACCCGTTCATTTTTTTGACATAGCTCCCAGGCTACGCTCAAGCCTGGCTAGCCAATTTCCCATTTCGTAAGGAACTTGGGTTTTGCTGTGTTTTGGGAGTTGTGCTCGACTACATCATTACCTTCCAACTTGGATACAGCCTCGACAAGGTCTACCAGGTAGGAATTGCCAAATCTTTTAAGTTAAAACCCTGCAGAACGAACTACGCACGATTTGACGCGACCAATCTGGAACCAGCTCCAACTCTTAAAACCAGTTCCGGGTGTTAATGTCGCCCCGGCTTATATAGTCCGGGGGGGCTCCATACCTCTGTGTTGCAGGGGTAGTGTGCAAACAGGACAGGTCAGCGACCCAGTTTAGGCTCGAAATGCCAACGCAGCTCATGCAAACAAGAGTTCGTGGGCTTAGAGCCATGAAACCCTAGAAGGGCCGACCAACTTCAGGCAATGCCACACATAGTCAAAGACAAGGAGAATAGTTCAGAAGAACACTTGCAGCTTTAATGCATTCAAAACCTGATCGTGGCTATGTTTGCTTGATGCATTTTTCCTTCCTTTTTAGGTGTTGTCCTTTGGTGGGGTGGTTTTGGATTTATTTATATTGTTTTGTTTTACCTCAGTGCAGCTTGGAGTTTGAATACTGTTTTTCTGAGTTTCTGTCTATGAACGTCTGGGTTGTTGCATAAGATTGTCGTGTTTCGTCGATGGCAGCAGAAGCACACGCAGAACAACAGCAAGTCATTTGGATTTTCGATTAACATCCCAAGATGCATAATATCAGTCAAGCCGGCTCCAAACGCATCACCAACACAGTTTAATTTGGTTGGTTGGTAGCTGGGCGAAGCTGGAACAAAACGACAAAACTATAAACATGTTTGAAGCGCATACCCTGTCTGATATGCATGTTTCGCCATGTCAACTGAGCCTGAAGGCCACTGGGCTAAACCGAAAAAAACCAGGATGTCAGCCTAGTGTTTACATGTTGTGACCCGTACATGTAGTCTGATGGCCACTGGGCAAAGCCGAAAAAACCCAGGATGTCAGTCTATAGTGTTTACATGGTTTGACGCGTAAACTCCGTCTGATGGCCACTGGGCAAAGCAAAAAAAACGGATGTCAGTCTACTTTTTGACATGTTGCAATCCGTTGACTCCGTCTGATGGCCACTGGGCAAAGCCGCAAAAACCTAGGATGTCAGCCCATAGCCGTATGCTGTGACGTGTAAACCGTCTGATGGTGATTGGGCAAGGCCGAAAAAACCCAGGATGTCAGTCTAGCGTTTACACGTTGTGAAGCATAAACTCCTTCTGATGGCCACTGGGCAAAGCCGAAAAAACCCAGGATGTCAGTCTAGCGTTTACACGTTGTGATGCATAAACTCCGCCTGATGGCCACTGGACAAAGCTGCAAAAACCCAGGATGTCAGTATATATATATAGTTTACATGGTTTGACGCGTAAACTCCGTTTGATGGTGCCTGGGCCAAGCGGGAAAAACCCAGGATGTCAGTCTAGCGTTTACATGTTTTGACGCGTACATGTAGTCTGATGGCCAGTGGGTAAAGCCGAAAACTCTAGGATGTTAGCTGATACCGTTTACACGTTGTGACGCGTAAACTCTGCCTGATGGCCACTGGGCAGACGCAGGTAGAGCTAGGATACAGGTCGAAATAAATGAAAAAAAACACATGTTTGTCGCTTTCTCACCTTCAATGTGGCACTGTGGTCGGTTGGCCAATTGTCGTCTGTCGTATATTTGCAGTGGTTTTTGCTACGCGCGTACTTAGGAGTCACCACTCCAGGTTATAAGTGTTGGCGGGTTCATCCAAAATGTCGTGACGCTGCAGCAGCCAATGCTTACGCCTACAACACCAAACCATGGCTGACGTAAGGGGTTCAAACAATATTGCCTATGTTGGCTTGGATAGGTCGGAAGCAAGTGCAACTTGGGCTTGCGTGATTCTAGAACAGACACAACTCCGGCGCAGGGGTGTTTCTGAGCCGATTCGTAAGATTGCAACGCCGCCATTTTACAAAGAACATGCGCTCCGCTCATCTTTGCCATTGCCCTTGCCCCCTAGTGGGGCGTGTGTGTGTGCGTGTGTGCGTGTGTGTGTGTGTGTCAAGCTCTGTACCAAAGAGTTCCTCACTTTCTTGCGACTGATTCCAACCAACTAGTTTTCAACTGCTTTCCACCATAAATTTTGGATACCGTTGCATTTTAATTCATAGCAGGGGGCACAAGGACCTTTGGTGAGTCTTGTGCCAATGAAGACACTCACCTTAGGTTGTGAAAACGTACCTGCATGATGCACCTGGATGACATACCCAATATGTTGGGGTCATAGCTGGTGGTCATATTCGTATCTGTTAGTACTTTATGGGATCAGGCTAACCCAAGAACCTGCATGCCGTCATTCAGTCATTTCATGATCACGTTTGATTGAGTCGTATTGGTTTCTCTTTTAAACAACCTGACATTCAAATGTCAACGGATAAGCTTGGCCTTTTTAACTCGGTATGGCCGAGTGATGCCTTCAATCTACCATGAGGTAATCAGACTTTGCATTCATGAAAAGAGACCGTCTTTCATGACTTCGCAAGTGTGTATTTCGGCCGTGGGATCTGTCAAAGTCCGGTCGTGATCCTGGAATTCCAGGCGTCGTATCTCCCCTGGGGGTGCGAGAATCCACAAGTGAATTTGACTCTTGAATTCAGCCACGGTGGCTCATTGCAATGATTGAACGTGTGTCTCTGACACAAAGCGTGCATTTGAGAGAATAGATCCCGGTATGCTATCCGGCATAAATAGCTTGAATCCACTGAGTTTGAACTTGAATTTGACTTTTGGCAATTTTGGCGACTGATAGTCACCAATAAGATGAATTTTCTGAATTCCACACTTGAAGCCTCAGCATTGAATTCCAAATGGATGAATTGTGTTTGTACACATGAATGCCTTTTGGTGTACAGTTGAGCAAGCAACAATACGTTATCACTTGTTAGTTGTCTAACTGATCAATCCTTGTACAGTTAACAAGTTGTCATATTAGACAACACATTTTCCATTTTCCTTTCTCTAGATTTCTGAGCCATGTCGACTCCGGTGTATAATGTTTACTTTGTGGCCGGCAACGTGGACCCGACTCCACCTCGGCCACCGAAAGCACCGGCGAAGCCAGCAGTAAGACTGGCATTGACACCACATGCTCCTCCAGCAACTCCGGTAGCAGCCCCAGCCGCAATTCCAGGAACGATCTCCGTACCTCGTCGACCGTCAGCAGTCCAACCTGCGGTGCCGGTTGGAACAGATGATGACAAACAGGAAAGACGCACAACATCAAGTTGCTCCAGATCCAGAACAAGACGTCGTCATCGAGCATCCCATCACCGTCACCATCATCGTGATCACCATTCTCCGAGGTCCACTTCGAGATCTGAAAGAGGTAGGTCAGTTAGAACGGCTCGTTCTTCTTTCTCTCAAGCTCTCCGTCCTCCACCAGGTCAATGGGACATTCATACTGGTCTTTGGGACCCGTATGTTGGAAACATTCCTCCCAGAGCGCATGTTCCTCCTCCCAGAGTTCCTGCTCCTCCTCCCTTGAGACCGTTTTCAGCCTTCCCTCTATTAGATCGCTCAGGACGTCACGAAATGACACCAACCAGTCAGCCAGTCACTCCGAACCAGGCAAATATTCGATCTTGGTTAAAAAATCATCAAGATGATGACTACCCGATGATGGACAGTATGGTGAAATTCGTTGCACAAATTCTGGACTCCACCAGGTATACTCCTGATCATTTGTCCACAATGAAGTTGCTTGTTTATGACCCTCAAGATCATGAACATCATCCTACTGATTTGGGCAAGAGTCATTATTACCTTATCAAAGGACATTTCTCTCAAAGAGAAATAACAGACCCAGTACGAGCTGCACCTGCGATGAACCTCCAGGAAGTACAACATGTGAATTTGGTTCATGCTAGCAGTATTGGAGGCATCAAAGGCATTTTTTCTGATCAAAAGATCGGACCTAGCCGTTTACACAACAACCAATCTTGCTCATTTTTCAGTCTTGGATCTAAAAGAACCAACGACAGAGCTTGGGATGACAAAGAAATGGCCAGAATCACACATGCAGCATGGTACGCTGCAAAGAATACAAGTAACATTCTGGCAGTAGCGGTAGGCGCAAGAGGAATCTTGCTGGCCAAGATCCACTTTCCGTCCCGCTCAGTCATCTTACTCGACATGGACCTGATGAAGCAGCGCTGCGAGCGCTCAGTGAGGGTAGATTTGTTGGAATTATTTGTGCGAAATCTGTTGCTGAATCTGCGTTTGGTTCCCAAATTTTGAAGACATTCCGTGATCAAGGAATTGATATCGATGCTACGGCTGAAAGCCTCCATCGCCAGTTGGCCCCCCAGCAGGGCATTCCCAATCGCACGGACAAACCGATTGAGTTTATGGCACCTTTAGTTCAGTTCATAGCCGATAAACTCAAGGCTCAGTGTCCTGTAAAACAGGATACCGAAGCCATGCGAAGGCTCCAGGAGACCGAAGCGAAGCTTCAAGCTGCCAAGTCCAAGCTTGCACAAGCAGGCATTCCGGATACACCCCAGAGATCACGGCGTACCACCGGCACTTTTGC